ATATTGAGAAAGATGTATTTAATAGCATTAGCAATGATGCTATAATACATCGGTTTCAAAATATGAAATCGCGTCGTGGACAATTACCTTCCCGTCAGTAATTGAAAAGTTGTAATTTTTTTTTTTCTTAATTTAAGTGAACTTAGAAAAGAAAATTTCACATTGCCCTGGCTGATAAAAAATTCTGGGTCCACCACTGGTGGTGGTTGTGGTCGTGGAGTCGGCTCATGCCGTCTTGTGGCCATTTATCTACCTAGGTTGTATATTATTATGCCACGCTTTCAAGTTTCTGCTACGCATTTCAGTTTTCGAACTTGCATATTAGTATGTTTCAGACTTTAAGATTTTACCCGGTTCGCTAGTATGAACGGGTCCAGTTTTACATGCTTGTTCGATAAAAGATTTAAAATCTGTTTTTCTTTATGTCTAAACCAGTCGTTAGACCAAGTTTAAAGAAAACAGATTTTCAGAAAATATAAGTTTTTAGTAGAATCCCGAGTTAAGTTCAGAAGATTTCAAAAAATTCATAAGCCTTTTCGAAACAAAAGTTGCGAAAAATTTACTCTGAGCAGGCGGGGTGTTACAGTTGGTAGCAGTGCACGTTTTTGTGTTTCTGAATACTTCAGCGAGTCAGAAAGTTTCATAAAACCCGACCACACCACACTCACACCTCGTCGACTACTAGGTAAGTGCTGTTAAAAGTTTTTATAAAAGTTTTTATTTATAAGCAAATTTACTAAGTCTATGCTCAACAGGATTTCAGATATCCAAACTCTAGAAATCAGACTTGATGCTTAGATCAGTTATAGAGATTCCTTTAGCAGTATCAGATCTATCCTCCTATTAGAAGTCTGAACTCTAGTTTGTACTCTAGTTGATCGAGCGACTCGTCAAGAAATTGTGCCTTCCCTAGAATTCAGCGTTTATGTGCCAGTTGTGCTAAGTCTATATCCTGCTCTAATTAAGTTATGCGGTTAATAATTCAGATGGCCCGCCGTGGAAATCAAGCTCAGCGGGAGATGACTCAGGCAGAGGTAGTCGCCTAGTTCCGCGGCTACAATCCCAAGAAGTTTTCATGACAAGGAGATCCTCGCCTAGTAGACGAGTGGATCCAGGGTCTCGAGTCGATTTTCGAGATCACTGAGTGTACAGAGAGGCATCGTATTCTCTGTGCCCAGCTGCAGATGACGGGAGATGCCTGTCTATGGTAGAACTCTTACTGGGCATGCGTCCTGGCGAGAACGAGAATCTCACCTGGCCTCAACTCAAGGAGATGTTGAGAGAGAAGTACTACACGGATGACTACCGGGCAGAGATGGACCGCCAATTTTTGGCGATAGTCCAGGGCAACCGGTCAGTTGATGAGTATGAGTGAAAGTTTACTCGTCTCGGATCCTTCGTTACCTATTTATTGGATACGGAGGGGAAGAGAGCGAGGCGCTTTCGTGATAGACTACGACTAGCGGTCCATCACCATGTAGCTAGACATGGTATCCAGACCTACGCTGATACCATTGCCAAGGCACAGGAGATAGATGCCAGTTTCAGGAGGGGTGATGATCAGGTCCAGGTGCAGCCAGTAGCTCAGTTTCCAGCATTTGCACCAACACAACCAGCGCTTGTTCAACAGCCAAAGATTAAGAATAAGAGAAAGTGGAGAGGTCCACAGAATGACCGGAGGAATAGACAGAGGCAGCCAGGTGCGGCTGACCGGGCACAGATTCCATCTTGTGGCACCTGTGGACGCCCTCATCGAGGAGAGTGTCTAGTCGGTCAGAACATTTGTTATCACTGTCGGAGACCCGGACATGCCATCCGGCATTGCCCAGACAGGATGCAGCAATAGCAGCTGCAGCAGCAACCCCGATAGCAGCCTCTGAGACAGCCTCAGTAGTAGAGGCGAACAGGACATCAAGCTTAGGTTTATGCTGTGGAGCAGGCAGAGGAAGAGCAGAACCCAGGTACTATGTCTGGGATGATTATTTTGAATGATATGCTTATTTTTGCTCTGTTCGACACAGGAGCGACGCACTCGATTGTGTCAACCCGATGTTTAGAGGCCATTAGAGTTCAACCTATCAGCACTGTTGACCCTCTTGAGGTGAGCCTAGCCTCAGGAAGAAAGATAGCGACGAACTCTAAGGCAGAGAACCTTAGTCTTAGTATTGGTGGCAGAATCTTAGAGGTCGGTGTGTATGTTATCGAGATGAGGGAGTTTGACCTCATACTCGGTATGGATTAGCTAACGCGTTATCGTGCCAATATTCGTTGTCATGACCGGGAGGTAATTCTTCATCTTCCGGAGGATGGTCAAATTTCTTTCTATGGCTCGAAGACGCGAACCTTGCCTCGTGTAATTTTCATGGCGAAGGCGAGAGATCCTATGAAGGGAAGAATGCTGGGGTTACCTGGTGAGCCTTGTCGAAGAAGAATCGAGAGCACAAACACCTCATGATATTCCAGTTGTTCGTGAGTTCGTGGATGTGTTCCCGGACCAATTACCAGGAGGACCACCCATGATACAAGTTGAGTTCACAATTGACCTTGTGCCAGGAGCGACACCGGTGTCGAAAGCGCCATACAGAATGGCACCTAAGGAGTTGCAGGAACTAAAGACTCAGATCCAGGAGTTGCTGAAACTTGGTTTTATTCGACCGAGTGTATCCCCTTGGGGAGCACCCGTTCTATTCGTCAAGAAGAAGGACGGATCTATGAGAATGTGCATCGATTACCTGGATCTAAACCAGTTAAGGGTGAAGAATAAGTATCCGCTCCCAAGAATAGATGATATGTTCGATCAGCTGAGAGGAGCCTGCATATTTTCCAAGATCGATTTACGTTTATGCTATCATCAGCTGAAGATTAAGGAGCCTGACGTAGCCAAGACTGCGTTTCGGACGAGATACGGACATTACGAGTTCGTGGTTATGCCGTTTGGTCTGAGTATTGCACCAGTGGTGTTCATGGACTTTATGAACCGTGTATTCCATCAGTACTTAGACCAATTTGTTATCGTCTTTATTGATGATATTTTGGTCTATTCCAAGAGTCTTGAGGAGCATGAGCAACATCTGAGGGTTGTTATCGGGACCCTTAGACGAGAAAAGTTGTATGCCAAGTTCTCAAAGTGTGAATTTTGGCTGAAGAGAGTGGCATTTTTAGGCCACATCATTACCGAGAGAAGCATACAAGTTGATCCAGCAAAGATTGCCGCAGTTTCGAACTGGTCAGCGCCCAAGAGTCCAACCGAGGTTCGTAGTTTCCTCGGCTTAGCAGGATATTATCGCAGATTTATTGAGGGGTTTTCGAAGATTGCCATCCCTTTGTCCAAGTTAACGAGAAAATCTGTGAAGTTTGAGTAGATGAGTCGTTGTGAGGAGAGCTTCCAAGAGCTCCAGAAGAGACTTACGACGGCTCCAGTGCTGACTATGCTGGATCCTACTCGAGGTTTCACCTTCTATAGTGATGCTTCGAAGTAGGGTCTTAGTGTGTACTTATGCAAGATGGCCAAGCCGTAGCGTATGCTTCACGTCAGTTGAAGCCACATGAGCAGAATTATCCTACGTACAACCTAGAGTTGGCAGCAATCGTACACGCACTTAAGATTTAGCGGCATTATCTGTATGGTAGTCGGTCTGAAATGTTTACCGATCACAAAAGTCTGCAGTATATCTTCACGCAGAAAAAGCTCGACATGTTCCAAAGAAGATGGTTGGATCTTGTGAAGGATTATGACTGCACTATCTAGTACCATTTGGGAAAAGCAAACATTCTAGCAGACGTCCTAAGCCGAAAGGTGAGGGGTGAGTTGGCCTGTTGCATTAATCAGTAGAACCAACTTATTTGAGAGTTCGCCCAAATGCAGATTGAGGTAGTCGAGTCACTTCCTAAGGAGATTTCAGGGAGTGTTAGCTCGATGCCAGTTCAGCCCACTTTGAGAGATAGAATCTGGCGGGAACAGTTTTACGATCAGTTCATTCGGGCTATAGAAGCGAACGTTCACGCTGGAGGAGTAGAGGGCTTTTACCGAGGCACAGATGGGGTTTTGGAGTTCAAAGGCAGGGAGTTGTGAGATCGGCCGTGGTGTTGGTCGTGGACTTGGCCCAGTCGCCGATTTTGGGACTTTTATATAATTTCAGTTTGTATAATTATGCCACACTTGTAAGACTTCCGCTACGCTTTTCAATTTCGAACTTGCATGTAAGTATTTTCAGACTTTAAAATTTTTCCCGATTCGCCAGCTTAAACGGGGTCCAGTTTTACATGTTTGTTCGATTAAAGAGTTAAAATATATTTTTCTTATGTCTAAACCAATCGTTAGACCAAGTTTTAAGGAAACGGATTTTCAAAGCAGATAAGTTTTAATAGCATCCCGAGTTAAGTGCAAATGATATCGAAAATTTTATAAGCATTTTTTAAACAAAAGATGCGAAAAATTTACTCTGATAAGGCGGGGTGTTACATAAGTCTTATGTAACACCGAAGAAGTGTGTGATTCATTTTGGAAGTAAAGGGAAGCTGCAGGCTCGTTATATCGATCCTTTTGATGTTTTAGCTCGAGTCGGTGACCTAGCCTATCGGTTGGCTACACCGTCGGAGCTTTCGGGAGTGCATAATTTCTTCCATGTCTCGATGTTGAGGAAGTGTGTGCACGACCCCAAGCATGTGGTAAACTTTGACGAGTTTCATGTTAGGCAAAACCTAACATATGAAGAGGTGTATATAGCCATCTTAGACTGGAAGGTTCATCAGCTGAGGAACTAAGAGGTAGCTCTGTTAAAGTCCAGTGGAGTTACCATGGTGAGGGTGATGCGACATGGGAGAAAGAGGAAGAACTTTGTTCGAAGTACCCGAGCTGTATTTTCGAGAACAAAAATAATTTTTAGGAGGATAGGTTGTAGCGCCCCGTTCTTTTTATAAAAACATAGCTCATTTTCATTTAAATGTTTAGCTCTATTTAATTAAACTTATCTAATTTTACTATTAAGTATTTAATCAAAATGGATCGTAAGGTATAAGAAATTTTAATCTTAGTATTATGAACTTAGTAAATTAATCTCTTTTAAATGTATTATCCAAACATTATTAATTAACAATTCAAATTCAAATAAGTGAAGAATAGATAAGGTTTTTTTTTTTGGTCTTTTTTTTCTCTCTCGCGATCCCCTTTCCTCCAAACTCTACCCTCTCGTTCCCCTCCAATTTAGAGTAGATCGGCCTTCATCGGCGGCAATTGAGCTCAAGTCGGTGGTCGTCCCCCGGTCGCCTGACCTCCGCCCGGCTTCACGCGCCTCCCTCATCGCTCGTTTCAGGTAAGCTCTTAACTTTCAAGTTTGGATTGGTTTCAGTTGCCGGCCCTCGGGATGAAGCGGGTGTGGGTGTTCAGAGCTCCGCTGAGTTCTCAGCTTTCTTCCTCTTTCTTACAGTGGTGGGTCTGGGGAGGACCATCGTTCTGTCCTTCGGCCAGTGGTGATGGCAGAGGTGGGGTTGTGGTGGGTGGAGGATTGTGGAGGATCCGGTCGGACGGATGGTTCCTCTGTTGTTCGGCGGCGATGGTGTCGGACGGCCGAAGCTCCGCTGCGCTTCCAGCCTTCTTCCATTTCCTTCAGTGTTGGGTCTGGGGTGGATCATTGTTCTGACCTCCGGCCAGTAGTGATGGCAGAGGTGGGGCAGTGGTGGGTGGCGGTGGCGGCTTCGGTTGGTTGGGGACGTGGTTGCAGCCTCGGCATCTTCATGGTTCGGGGGCTCAACGGGTGTAGTTGGACTCGCTAGTGGTGTTAGTGGGCCCAGTCACGTGGCGGTCCTAAGGCATCTTGGGTGTTGAGGTCGTGGTTCGAGTTTGATTTCAGATGATGTTCTAGGGCTTGGGCTTTGACTTCGTTAGGCCACCGAGTTGGTGTTAGGCCGTTTCGGGTCGGTCCTCTTTGGCTGTGGGACTTATTCTGGGTCGACTCTGTATCCTCCAGCTCTGCTTGGTTTCGCTGCTTAGGCAGGGCTTGTTTCGTTTTGCTTAGTGTATTCTGTTTTCTGTGGTTTTTTGTTTGTTAGTTTTGTCTGTGATTGTATTGTTTAGGGCATGTATTTTTTGTTTTGGCCGTTGGCCTCTGTGAGCCTGAGTGTCATCTTTTTATCCCTTACTTTATTATGTGGAAAGAACTCGGCTAAATAATTTATCAAGTGAGACCTTGCAAAAACTTTCCAACTTTAACACTCCAAAACTCCCCAAGTTTCGGTCAAAGGCTCCAAGAAAAACCCAGTGCCTTAGCCGTTTACTTCCTTGATTCAAGGCAATAATTCAAAGAGCCACGATTGATTTTGGTAAGCAATATTCAGCCCTTAGTTAGTCAAGTGTAACCCCCAAGATCGCTTGAATCTGTCATTTAACTCCCCATTCTAACTGGCCAAGAAGCTCCCAAGTAACACCTTCATGTTTCAACTTTCCAATCAAGAAATTAGTCCACATTCATCCCCTCTTTCTCAAGACAAAAAATTCCCCATTTCTTCCTCATACTACTCAAAAGTTTTCCCCCAAAGTTCTGAAAAATTTCCTCTACAAAAGCAACAAGAGCAAGTTTTTCTTGCGAGAACTGTGTGGTCATCCGAGACTCGTGAGCATCAAGTTGTTCACACCTAAAACATCGAGCCTTTCAATCAACACTGAACCCTATTATTCTAATTCTTGAAGAAGGTAATAATTCAAAACAAATTCTCTTTAATTCTTGTCCTTAGAATTATATTGAATTGGTGCGCAATACGCGCAACACGTGCACAAGTGCGCTGCAGGCATGCGATGAATAATCGCATGTCCCGACTCGTAAGTTTGCCTTGGACGTTGCGTGAGCTTCGGTCTTCGGCGACGGCGCGGACGACTCGGAGGTTAACTCCTTATCTTCTCGCGATAGGTGAGACAGCTCGAAGGGATGTCCTTGCTAAATTGACTTGCTCGAGCAATGTGATGGACGCCCTTCTCGTGACAAGGGTTTTGCGCTAAAAAAAAATCAAAATAAATCTAACACAAGAATTTGAACTAGAAGTTCGGTTTTTCATTAATATTTCGATGATCAAAATAACAAGAGCATGCGCCTTTATATAGGCTTCAAATAAATCTACTCCTAATCAATCTAAATCTCCTAATAAAGCAATAAATAATTAAAGTCCTAATAAATCTACTCCTAATCAATCTAATAATAAATATAATAATAAAGCCTTTATATAGGCTTCAAATAAATCTACTCCTAATCAATCTAAATCTCCTAATAAAGCAATAAATAATTAAAGTCCTAAACAATCTAGAAATCATAAGCAATAAGGAAACTAAATATCTAAAGTAGTCCTAAGTAGATCTAGTCTTGTGTGTCAAGCAAAGGAACCCTAGCCGCCATAACCTCTTCACCGCGCGCCTTGCCGCATTTCTCGAGGACTAAGGTCTCGGTCCTCGCACATGTCATCCCTTCACGCGGCATCATCGCGCAGTACGTGTCGGCGTGGCCCTCGGGCGCGTTGTCGCACCCGCCCGCGTGCTCGCACGCATTGTGCTCGGTTGCGGTCTCCTCGCGCGCGCTTCCCTCGCACGCGTCGTCTCGCGCGCCATCAGCAGCGCCTATCGCGTTGGCCTCTGCGGTCCGTCGAGCCAGCCTTTTGCGAGCGTGATAAGCCCAACTCGCGGCGTTCTTCAAGCGCCTAACCATATCCTCATCAGCATGGGACAACGCGTAGACAGGCCGACCCGCCTGAGGCAGCACACTGGTGAATGGGGCGCGTGACAGCACGCGTGCAAGCACGGGCGCGCACAGGCGCAACCTGCAAATGTTGCGTGAGTGGCTGGGATGCGCGGGTGTAGACGCGGGTCTGTCGAGAAGAGCGCTGGTCTGACAGGACGAACTCAAGATTTAAATAAAATTTTAGAAGAAACAACTTAAAAAGTTTAGATTAAAATTTTGAAGAATTATTTAGAAGATTAAATTCATGTTTAAGAAAATTTATTGGAGATTATTTGAAGGAAATCGAGCCTTTTTTGTCTTTTGTTTTTTAGTTAGAACCCTTAACCCTTGCGCTTTATTTGAAATTTTGTGAGAAAAACCAAGAACTTTGAGTGTTTATGTTGTTGGGTATTTGTTTGAGCCTTTGGAAGTCAAGAATATAGTGAAAATTCATGTTTCTGGCCGAACCACCCAGTCTCTAGTCGCAGCCTCGGGACTACCTGTCCCGGGTCACAGCACAGCAGGGACGCTGGCAGGTGTCGCGGGTGTGACCAGTGTCTGCGACTGTAGGTGACGCAAGCGTCACTAGAATACCCCAAGCGCGTGCCGCATCCTCTGGCTAGCCTCGGGTCGCATGCGTGCCGCGCGCATCGTGTCGTGTCAAAGGTGCCGCATTGCACCATGCCGGGTTGCAGCGCGTCGTGCCGAGAGCATTAGTCGTCCTTGTGCATGCGACTGTGTTGTCACAGGTGTTCCTGTGCGCCGTCTTGAATGTCTTCGTGAAGACCTAGGTCTCCCCGACCCCAGCAGTCCACAGTACGCAGTCCAGTGTACCAGGGCCAGTGACCTAGGACTCTCCGTGCCGCGTGCAGCCAGTGCCGCGTGAAACAGACCAGACCTGGGAAGACCTAGGTCTAGCCAGTGCTAGCGCCCATCGTACCCCAGTAGCCCAGGCCGCGAGCCGGCGAACCCGTTTTCTAGTCGAACCCTAAATTTTTAACTCCAAAAATTATATTTCCAAAAACCTTATCCGAGCCTTACTTTATCTTATTTCAAGCTTTAGCCGACAGACTAAAAATTAACTCAATTAAATAAATTAATTAAGAAATCATTTAAATTAATTATTAAGAAAATGAGATATTTTTGTAAGATAAATTCCTTAAATTATGGATAACGAGGAATCAAACCCTCGAGCAGTTCATTAAGCATTCAACATTTCATTCATCCGCATTTGAGGTGGAGATTCTATACTACGTCTTATTCTTTATAATCTTGTGATATTATGATTGAGGTATGTTAAATGAGTATTCTTCCTGAGCGGGGAATCAGTTATGAGATAGATCTCCTGGTGCACGTTTGGGAACAACCCATTTTCCCGCAGGTAAAGGTGCGTATACATGAGATAGACTTCTGTTGCACGTTTAGGCAGAACCCATTTTCCCGACAGAGTGTACAGTTTAGATCAGTTTATTCATATCCATGCAAAGGTTATGGTATCTGTAATTATATTGAATAATAGCACAGTATGTCTCCCCACTAAGCTAGTGTTTTGCTGACCCCTTATATTTTCCTCCTTTCAAATTGAACAAGTTGGCGACGGAGACGGATTGCGAGGGTGGTCATTTAAGTTATTCAGTTTATGCTTTCTCGTTGATTATTAAGAATTATACATTTGAGTTTGATTATTGAACTTGTTTTAAGGCTTTGTTATGAAGTTTTATTTGGGTGATTTGGTAAGATGAGAATTCCTATAAATACTTAAGTGAGAGACTTAAGTAAAGTTTAAATTTATTGTGAAAACATAGTTTTTTTAGAGATAAGTAAGAGGGCGTCCTGCCCACGGAATGCGAGCGCCAACGGGTTGAGCTGGCCGTTTAGACCCTTTTTACCTAGGGCATAAAATTAACTAGAATAGGAATTACGCTAAAATTAGGTAATACATTTAGCTGATACAGTTATTATAAGAGTATCCACTTTGATTTGGATTTAATATTTTTTTTAGTTGTCTTAGTAGTTGGCACAAGCCTTAAACGTTGTGGAGAAATAAAAGAAGAAATAGATTATATAAACTTCAATGCAGTTAGTCCAAAATAATGTGCATCCAAAGTATATACGAGCAATTTATTAAAATAACAAAAATTTATATATTGACATTTATTTTATACTCATGTCGTAAAGTGAATTCAATTTCTAGACGTAATCCACTTCTTCACATTTTATATCTTCTAAAACTAGCTCCATCCCCTCTATATATAATTTCAGAATGCGCTGAGCTTACGTGGTAAACTCTTATGCTTCGAAATCTTATTTGGTAAAAAATTATGCTTTACAATTAGGCTTGGATATAAATTAATATTTGTATTAATTGTATTTTAATATCATTTCATATTATAACTATTGAATTGCAAATATATTTTAAAAGTTGATAACTTTTGTGTTTCTTATCGATTTTACATATATAATATATCAAATTAATCATCTTTTTGTATTTTAGTGTCATTTCATATTATACCCATTGAATTGCAAATATATTTTAAAAGTTGATAACTTTTGTATTTCTTATCTGTTTTGCATATATAATATATCAAATTAATCATCTTTTGATGAGTTTCGATTTGACATCCATATTGTATATATAAAATAAATAAATTATATTTACCATTATAATAATAATAAAATTATTTATTAAAATTAATTAGAAAATATAATTATTTATCAATTAATATATTTATGTTTAATGTAGCTATATGTTATAAGGTAGAAAATTTATTATAATATAACACATATAAGTCGCACAAGTAACATGTGTAGTACTAAAATATATAATAAAATATACTACCTCCTATTTTTATTATTTGTCACATTGGCTTAATTGATCATTGATAAAATAAATGTCGTTTTAGATATTTTTTTCATATTTTTTTTATTTTTAACCATCATCTAATACACAGTGTTTCTTCATATCCTATCTCCATCGTTTCCCATAACATCCATTAAATAGGGTTAATATTGTCAAGAAAAAAAATCTTAATTAGTGTGTTGCATTTAAATTGATATTATGAAGTCCGTTTGTATTTTACTATATATATATAATACAAAACAGTAATACATATCCTAATAAATAAAATTTAAATTTATTTATCAATCTATATTAAATTATATCAAATAAAACTATAAATTATATTATAAAGTAAGAAATTGGTATGTATTCTTTTAAAAATGATATTTATTTCAAATCTAATTGGTATGTTGTCAATGTAATAAAAATAAATAATTATTTATATAAATTCTAAAATTACACATAAAGTTAAAAAACTGTGAAGGAGGAATGATACGACACTTGATGTATTAGACATCTAATTAAGTAAAAAAAAATTAATCTATATTGCTTAATATTAAATAAACATATTCTACATTTATGCATATACATATCATCATATTATTTCTATTTACTTAAGATATATATTTTTGTACTTATGTAATAGTAAATATATCGATATTTTCATATGATATAAGTAAAAAAATTCAACACAGGTTGACATACATTTCAAAATAAATAGGATTCTTATAAGTTTTTGCTT